GCTCGGCAAGGAAAAAGCCAGCCTCTGCTTGGATACTTCCACTCATGGTGATCTCACCTCCTCCCAACAGTGCGCCCAGCTCAGTCCGCCCGCCCAGCTCTGTGGAGCTCCATGTGATGCTGACTCAGCTGGCCCATGTTTGAGAACAACTGCTTTAGTTTATTAATAAAGCTACATTTGAAGCGTTCCAAGCCAACTTGGTGGGGGTGGGAAGGGGAACCAGTCCAGAAAAGGCAAAGGGCAGAAGCAGCGGGGGTGTGATGAGGCGGGCAGGCATGGTGTTCATCTAGGTCAGTGGTTCTCAACCTTCCGAATGCGACCCCTTAATCCAGTTCCTTATGTGTGGTGACCCCCCCAACCATAAAATTATTTCCGTTGTTACTTCTTAATGGTCATTTTGCTACTGTTATGAATAGGGCGAGCCCTGTGAAAGGGTCGTTTGACCCCCAAAGGGGTCGTGACCCACAGGTTGAGAACCGCTGATCGAGGTGATAATCTATCTGGAGAACCTGGGTGGGCTGGGAAAGGGGGGCTTCTCAGCAGGGGGACTAGTTGTCCCTGGACGTGACTGCTGGGAAGAGGAGGGCCCAGGGTGAGTGGGTCAGGAGAGTCCGCGTGGCCAAAGTGCCAGGGATCTGGGGAGGGCAGAAGGCAAATGCGGTGAAGTCAGAAGCTGCAGGTTCCTGACTGGGCTGTCGGGAGAGCGAGGGGAGCACAGAGGCTAAGGAGCCAGGCATGAGCTCCTGGGGTATAACCCTGTCTAACGATCACAGTTCAGCTGCAACTGCTTCCCGAAGCCCCTTTGACCTCCTCTTGTGGTTGTGCCCATCAGTCAGGATGCCAGAAGTTGCTCTCTGAAAGTAGTGAGGTGAAGTCCCTACAGCCAGAGGGGACAGGCCAGACACCTTTCTTTAGTGGTAGGCAGCGCTGGAAAATGTGCAGTCAGGGGGTCAGAACCGCTAATATCCCACCTCCTTGGCTGCATTGCGCCCTCACAGGGGAACTGACTCAGGACAGTGCTACTGAGGAAAATCTCTCACCCGACTTGGCTGCAGCAATAGGCTGTTGGCTGGGCACCTGGCTGCTCTCACTGCTCCTCACTGAATCCGGGAGGCCTCCCTTTTCTGGGCAGCAAAACAGGGGCATCTCTGCGCAGGGCTGGGCTGGGCCTCCTTTCAGATAGCGGCACCAGTACACACAGACTCTGCCTGGACTCTGACTCCAGACCAGCACTCTCCACCCAGGCTGAGCAAAGCTCTTGCCATTCCTTTTGTGTCCAATGTAGTACCTGTCTGTCTAGGTAAAGATATATATATATATTTAATGAGAAACCCTGTGGCAGGGACACAGGAATTAGTCAAAGAAGTCTCTTCCCTCAAAGGAAGGAGTGTCCTCAGGGAGATGCAGGTGTCTAGAGAATAACCAGCACAGCGGGGTAATTGTTCTTTCTCCGACAGCTCATTCCCTGCACAGGGACTTTGCACTTGCTGTTCCTGCTGAACGGAACCCCAGATGTTTGCATGGCCCACTTTCTCTCTGTATCCACTTCACTCTCACGAGGGGCCGTCCCCTCCCTTCTTTTGTAAAGCAATCTTGGGCTCTAATAGGACCCCCAAAATAAAATAAAAGCCCACCACTGCCATTGAATTGAATCTGACCCATAATGACCCTACAGGACAGAGCTGACCTGCTCATCCCGTTTCCAAGGCTGCATGCCCATCTTTAGAGAGGCAGGCTGCCACTTCCTTCCTCTATGGATTCAGCTGGTGAGTTTGAACCACCGTATTTTCCATTGGCAGCCAAACACTTAACCTAACCAAGGCTCCTCCCCTGTTTTATACACCCCACATATATCTATATAGAAAAATATATATAGCACCTATCAAAAAGGCAGGAGTCCCATGGGGGGGCACAACCAATAGTTAAGATTACTAACAGGAAGGTTGGCCGTTCAAATTCACTCAGAGGTTCTTTTAGGTAGCTAGAAGCAGAACTAAGGGTTGTCCCTCTAAATGCCAAAGCCTCCCTCCCCTATCACAGGAAGTTGGAAGTTGCTTAAGGTTGGAGGGCAAACACACAATCGTGAAGTCAAGGACCAAGGTATTTCTCCCATTGGAAGAATGGCCGCAATCTGCTTTCAAATGGTTACACACAGCCTTGAAATCCTTGGAGGAAGTTCCACTCTGTGACTCAGGGGGCACCACGAATCGGCGTTTGAATGCACAGTAGCTGGTTTGATGGTTCTAACAGCTTCATATTATGTATTCGATTATTTTGTTAGCCTTTCCCAGTTGATTGTAAGAGCAATAGATTGTAAGGGCAATCAGGGCAGTGACTTAATCATGCTGAATTCTCATTCGTAGCATTGGCAATGTAATAGGAATATGTACATAAGAAAGCAAATCCTCACTGCCATTGAGTGGATTCTGATTGCTAGTGACCCGAGAGGACAGGGTGGAACTGTCTCTCTGTGTTGGGAGGACTGGAGCTCTTTGCTGGAGTGGTAAGCCTTGTCTTTCTTCTGTGGCGCACCTGGTGGTTTTGAACTGCCTAACTTGTGGTTGGTTAGCACTCCAATGTGTAATTACGACTCTACCAGGGTTCCTGATACATACATACACAGGAGCTTCAAAATGTTCG